GTTATAAAATAGGGTTAGATAATCCCAAAACATGAGGGGTCATGGGCCTTTGAGGGTCCATAAAACAACCCAAGTTCATTTCTTTGAATTAAATAAGCCTATTTAATTATCTTCCAAACTTTTACAAGTTAAGAATTTCAATCCAAATCATGCAAACTAATTTAGTTAAGTATGCAAACATTTGGCTTGGAGATATCCACCATTTATTCTTTCATTCCAAATTTGAAGAGGTATCAAAAGTGTATTCAAATAATTTCTTCTATCATGGGATTTGAAACATGAACTTGAGGGTTCATGAAAGATCCCACCATTTGTTTGCAAGCTTCCAAAATCAATTGAATTCATTTTCTTTACATTCAACAAATTCGGACAAAATCACAAATGTTAGCGATACAATTCCCAAATATCTAAGTTAATTTTGTCATAACTTATAATTTGCTAACAATGACATGCATGCTACAAGTTGTGAGAGTCCCTACACATTGTCATTCAAGATATGGTTGACTGACAATACTTAGCCTAAGGTTTGAACGTAGGCGAAGGTATTAGGCACAATATGATGCATAAACATACAATTGAGAGGTGTTAATCCCACACCTCTACACGCATCGAAATCCTCTCCGAACCCTCACATGAGAGCCACAAATGAAAATCACCGAATTTTCACTGTTTTTGCGAAGTGGACAGCCAACAAAGCGGTTTTGGGGGACCAAAAATCAAAGTTTCTAAGGACCTAAAGCTTTGGATCATCAACCACATGCCATTGACTAGGGAGCCTTAAGATTTTGTCTAAGTTTTAGTGTTATACCTCTCCCGGTTTGTCCTAGCGCTCCTATCCAAGCTCCAAGCACTGTTCAAGCTCCAATCCGCGCTCCTAGTTGCTGTCCTTGATGTTCCCAACGTTGCCGGTGCTGTCCAAGGCACTTTGAAGGGTGGACTTGCTGTCCAAAGCACTCCGGACAGCAGTTTTCACTGTTTAAAGTCTCCCGGAAGCTGCGTGGCTGCTGTCCACACGTTCCAAACAGCAGATTTTGCTGTTCGAAAGTTTCCTGGAGCTGATTTCATCGTCGAGAGGTCGCCGGAGTTGATTCAGAAGGAAGGGGAAGCCTCCTACCCTCTCTTGACTGTAGCAAGGGTTGCTTTCAGAGCACCTTTGCCCTAGATTTTGGAGGAGAAGCTTACCAACAGCAGCATGAGGGAATTTTTGCTCTCCGATAGAAAGGAGAAGACAATGGCAGCAAGAGAGAACCCTTTTTAGTTCAAAAAAAGGGAAGACAGCAGATGTCCAGGCCCTCCCTCTTGGCTAGATTGCATGCAAGAGGCCCATGGTCGTCCTCTTCCTTCCTGGCTTGGACGGGTGCAAGAGCCGCAGTCCTCTCTCCTCCTTTCGCTTTGCCTGGGACGGACAAACGGAGGGAAGAGCCGAACGGCTCTTATGGCTGGAAGGACCGCACGCGGGGGGACTCCGCCTCCCCCTTCTGCTCTGGTCGGGACGCCCGCACACGAGAGCTCCCGCTTTCTTTTTCGGGACGGGATAGACACGGGGGAGCCGAATGGCTCCCCTTCTCTCTTTTCGTTTCTCTTAGAGGCGCACAAGGCACCGCCCAAAATGCCCAATCTAGCTTCCTCTTTGCACGAATCGATAGAATTTGGGAAGAAATCTGAGCCATTGATCTCAATTTTTTTTTATTTGAGAATCAAATTCAGCTCAAATTGACAAATTAGGGCTGAAATTGAGTCCAAATTGGACTCGACCCAAACCGATTTTGGTTGGTTTGGGTCCGATTGGGTTCAATCAATTTAATTCATGAAATTGAACTCAAAACTGTGCCGAAAAGTATCGAATTTGGCTCGACGATGCTCGACGGGGTTTGATTTGATTTGATTTGATTTTAATTAAATTAAATTGGATTTAATTTAATTAAATGGAGGTTTAATTTGGGTCGATTTCACCTCGACATGATCGATTGGGTTGATCGAGCGCGATCGAGCCTAGTTGGGCTCGATCGGGGTCAAGCCGATGCGAAAATATTCGTCAACATGTGTTGATTTTCATTTTTAAGAATAAAGGAGATGCACAAGATTGTGTTAATTATAGAGGAATTAGATTAATGTGTCATACTTTAAAATTATGGGAGCGAGTTATATAGTGTAGGTTGCAGCGTAATATTAATGTTTCACAAAATCAATTTGGATTCATGCTAGGTAAGTCGACTATGAAATCCATATATTTATTGAGAGGTTTGATGGAGAAATATAGAGAGAATAAGGAAAATCTACATATGAATTTTATTGATTTAAAGAAAGCATATAATAAAGTTTCGAGTGAAGTTCTATGGAGAGTTCTTGAAAAGAAAGGAGTTAATAACACTTATATTTAAATCATTAAAGATATGTATGCAGGAGCTATTACTTGTGTTCAAACACAAGGTGGTTTGACCAAGTATTTTCCTATTTTGGTTGGATTACATCAAGGATTAACCTTAAGCTCATATCTTTTTGCTTTAGTCATGAATGTTCTCACAAAACATTTGCAAGATGATGTACCTTGGTGCATGCTTTTTGCTGATGATATTCTTCTTGTTGATAAGACTATAGGAGTTGAAGGTAAACTTGAATTATGGAGGTCAACCTTAGAGTCTAAAGGTTTTCGATTGAGTAGATCTAAAACAGAATATATAGAGTGTAATTTTAGTAGTAATAGACCTAGTGAGGGGATTGTGACTTTGGGCTATCAAGTCATCAATAAGAGTACTCGTTTTAGATATCTTGGATCTATTATTCAAAGTGATGGTGAAATAGATGGGGATATTATCAGCATAATTCAAGTTGGATGGTTGAAGTGGAGAAATGCATCAGGCTTGTTATGTGATGGAAAAGTCCCCCTCGAACTATAGGGAAAAATCTATAAGATGGTGGTGAGACATGCAATGCTTTATGGTGCTAAATGTTGGCTATTAAAATAGAAGCATAATACTAAGTTAAGTGTTGCAGAGATGAGGATGCTCAGGTGGATGAGTGGCTTTACCCATAGAGATAGGATATGAAATTAGCATATACATGAAAAGGTTGGAGTAGCTCCAATGGAAGTTAAGATTAGAGAGAGTTGCCTTAGATGGTTTGGTCACATAAAACATTGGCTTTCCGATAACCCAGTTAGGAAAGTAGAAGTATTAGATTTGACTTATGTTAAGAAAGGTAGAGGTAGACCTAAAAGGACTTTGTTAGAAAATGTTAGAAATGAGCTTTCTTTATTTGATTTAAACGAGAATTTGACTTTCAACATGACACAATGAAGAAAAAGGATTCATGTAGTCGACCCCACATAGTGGGACAAAGGCTTGATGTTGTTGTTGTATATGTAAGAAAGTCACACGATGAAAACTCAAGTTTCTGAGGTGTTATCTATACTCTTCAAGAAGATAGGTGGTGTAAAAGTAACATATATTTATATTGCTTGGTTCACTTATTAAATCCAAGGTAAATTTTTTCATTTTTTTCATAATTAATTCTTAATTTGTTTAATAATTATGATTTAATTCTATTTTATTTTTCTATTATTTGAAAATATTCAAGTAAATAATGACTTCAAGAGGATCCTCGATTAGTTTCTCCACAAAAAGATTTAGAAATTTCAAATATGAGGAAGACATGTTTGAAACATTGTGTCCCAAATGAGAAGAAGAGAAAAATAGTCAATATAGAGCTTGCTAAAATTTTTTTATTATTTAGAAGACTTTGATGACCAAGAGTTTTTACGTATATGTGGAGAATGGATTCAAAGTTGTGGTGATTGATTCATGGAGCTTTAGTACTTCAACGTCAAACAACGACATAAAACATTTTGGACAAATATCATCCTCTTGTTATGAGAGAAATTGGAACGCATACTCCATTCAAACAATGAAGAGGAACAAAATTACTGGGCTAAAGATTTAGTTTATGTGCATACAAACATTCAGCTTCTATCAAGAAAGACTCCAACTTATATGGTAGAAGATAGCAAGATGTGAGATGTTCTCGAAATGGATTTGAGTGCCTTGATGTTATTAAAATAATGAAAATATTGGAGATTACTAATCTTTCGTTTGATGAGCCCGAATTTAGAAACAATGATATTTATTGAAAATAATATTGAAGTCCAAAGACAAATCCTTGAAAAAGATAATCCTATCGTTCATTCTACTGAATAGTTGAAACTTCATGTACTAGATAGTTTATGTTTATATTTTTGATGTTATACTAGACATTTTATGCTTACTTTTATTTTGAATTAGAAACTACAAGACTAATTATGATATTGCTTTAATATTTTTGTCATTATAAATATTATTCCTTAATTGCTTTCTTAATTTTAATGCATGATTTATAAATTATAATGCTATGTCCACGCCGTACTCGCGTCCTATACTTTTAATAATTGACGTGTCCTGTATCCGAATCGTATCATATTCGTGCCACCGTGTCTGTATCGGTGCAACATAGGTTCTTTGAAAAATCTAAAAATGATAAGAATTTCAGCCCAACTGTACTTATCATAAAATTCTTGCATAATCTATTCACTTCGTTTTTTATGTATGGATTGGCCTTTTTGATCTTCTTCAATAATTAAATTGAGCATTATTATTTTCCTCACTAGACATTCAAAAGCATAATGACTACTCTTTTAATCACATAAATAGATACTAGATTTTCTTTTGGGCTTCACGCTCCTTTAAAACTATCTAGTTTGGAGCTTAGGAGGCTCAAATTTTTTTGAAGTCCTAAAATTAGAAATATTAAGTTGTTTTTTTTTTTTTCCAATGCCTTTTTAATTTTTCTTCGGCTTTTAAAATCATTTGATAAGCCTTTTTTTAGATTTTTTAACTAGTGAAAAATTAACTCATTATAGATGATTTGTTTTACTTAAATATCTTGCACCCAATTAATCATTTATTTTGTTGAAATTGTCTATTTAATATTTTTGAGAATGTTTGTTGTATTAGAGTATTTCTTTTTTATTCTTAAATAGGTAGGTAGCATAAAGTTTGTGAAAAATATATGAGAAAAAACTTTCATTTAACTTTTCATTCAAGTTAACCGATGTGGAAATATGTTGAAGTGGCGAAGATCTTAGTTGATATTATTTCCGCCAAACTAAAGCATCATTTTGATTTTCATTACATTTTACTTTATATTCTCCACTTAATTCCTTCCATCCAAAAAATGTTTGATGAGATGTAACTAATCACAAAAAGATTTAGGATTGACTTTACCATTAAAATCGGGTGCATTGCCACAACCGCTTATGGGATCATTGATTGATAAGTAACATTTGAGGGTAAATTTATTGTTTAGGCTTCATCCTTCTTGGACATGTTGACTGACCACACCATACTTGTTAAAGTTTGTTTGTAGATTGCTTGCGGAAGCTTTTTGGTGGTAATCGACAAATAATTTGTAGGGGAGGTTGTTATAGGATCACTAATTGATAACTTTTGAGGTTAAGCTTGTTGTGTAGGCTTCACCTTCTCATGCTACTCCTTGGACATGTTGAATGGCCACTCCATACTTGTTGACGTTTGTTGTAGATTGTTTGTGGAAGCTGTTGTGGTAATAGTGGGGTTAGATTGTCAATGTTGATTAATCTCATCTCGAACTGCGACTGTAGGGGTCTTTAGTATTCCATACCGTACAGGGCATGTTAATTAACTCCCACTTTGGGGTTCAACTTGCGATGGAATGTTGAATGAAAATGGAAAGGAAAATTAGATAGATTGCAAAATACAAACGACTTTCTCACAAAGTAAGCGAGGAATCATTCACCCTTAAGAAGAATACAAGTTTCTAAGGACAAGATCAAGTAATAACTAGCTTTCAGCCATATCTCATGTACTAATAATATCAAAATAGGCAACCATATTGCATCTAACCATTGAGTTGTTGGGAAAAAGGTAATTAATGTTCTAAGTCGGTGTAGGCTGCATCACTATTAGTTTGAATTTTAACTTTTTAGAACATTAGCATATCGGCATATGCACATAGAAATTTAATCCTTGATCTTGTATCTTTCATGTATGCTATGCGGAGAAACCTACTTTTTCTGCGTAATTTTTTTTTTTAAAGCTTCAAAAGGTAAAAATAATTAAATATGTTTTATTTTCAGTTGTTATAGTTTACTGGTTTGATGATCATAATTCTGCTTATTTGTGCATTTTCTGCCATTGAGTCTAACAATCTCCACAACAAATGCCTCCTCAAGATTGTTCAAACAACTTTTTGCATGTTTATGTCAAGTCTAACACTATTGTTGGATGTCTGAAGGCACACTTTCTCTTTCTCTTCCTAGGCAGAAAAAGTGTTAATTACTAAAACCTTTTCAGGTCAGACTTTCTTGGCACGAAGTTTACATTTTATGACAGCCAGCCTCCGTATGATGGTGCAAAAGCATCAAACGGTCGATCTGGCAGACGTTTTGCCAGTAAGCAGATCAGTCCACAGGTCCCAGCTGCTAATTTCAAGATTGGATATATCTCCTATAAATTTAACATTCTTAAAACCAAAGGACCAAGAAGGATGCACTGCACTCTTCAACTTCCTCCAGAAACCATAGATTCTGATTGCAAGTTATCTTCCCAAGTCCCTCCAGAACCGTTTGTCATGAAGAATAAAACTCCTCGGTGGCACGAACAACTTCAATGCTGGTGCTTGAACTTCCATGGAAGAGTCACAGTAGCTTCAGTTAAGAACTTCCAGCTGGTAGCCGTCGGAGATGAGGAAACTGTGTTGCTCCAATTTGGGAAGGTTGGCGATGACATGTTCACTATGGATTACACTTATCCACTCTCAGCCTTCCAAGCATTTGTCATCTGTCTCACATGCTTTGGTAATAAGATTGGCTGCGAATAGAAGTGAGGCTGTGGCTTGCCAAAGAAAATATGGTCAGATGACATTACTGTTAACTGATAAAAAGTTGCGTGATTTTGTTTCCATATTGGATAATGTTTTTTTATGTTTAATATTTGTATTTAACTCACTTTCTTCTTTCTTTTATTACACTATTGTTTGTTCTGTGAAGTGTTCTGCCCTATTGTTGTATTTTATTCACATACTCTTGCAGTGGGTATCTTCTCTTCTTCTGTTGATCTTCTTATACAATGTATTAATCAACCAAATTTATGTCAAGAAAGCACATGATGAATACTCAGCATGTTTACTTGTAATAATATTAGAAAGTGTGACAGATGACATTACTGTAACTGCAAAAAGTTGTGTGATTTTTCAATCAAATTGGATGCTGTTTTAATATATTTATTATTATTTGTATCATCTTCTTTCATTATTGTTTGTCTGGAAGTGGTTTACTCTATTGTGGTATTTTGTTTTCATAGCTTGTGGTTGAAGTACACATGGAGTGTCTTTTGCTCATCTTCTGTGGGTAACTGACACAAATATGATTAGGATGATTTTTCATGATGTTAGGTAGCTTTGCAAGTAAGATTAGAATCTCTGGCTTCAAATTTTGCAAGACTAAATGATAAGATAGAATATCTTGACCGGTCCCTTGATCTAGTTTAGAACATTTTATTCCTTAAATTTAAGATATAGGATTTTGTAGTAGGTTACCCTCACTCTATTAGTACCTAATAGCATATCTCAAACCCTTGGATATAGGATCTTAGACTTTGAGATGGGCTACCCCCATCTCTATGTTCTTTATAATGCCAAAATATGTTAGACATAGGTTTTAAAACATTAGGATGACATTTTTTCCATTAAGGTGGATTGAGTTCATCCCTCTTAGGTTTTTTATAACCCTTAATGGTGAAACCCTCAAATTAAAAATATGTTAACAAATTGTTGAAGTCATTAATAATTTAAACTAGAATCAATCTTATTTAATAAGCATGAATGTTCTCATCTCACTTGTAACTTAAACATAAAACAATGATTAAATGATCATCCAAACTAGATTAGCTTAGCGCACATTAGATGTTATAATAAACACATCCTTAGGTATTCTAGAGTTAGGGTGTAGCTATGATTACACTTCTTCTTTGTTTGGTTAAATGAAGTATTGATGGGTTATCAATGTTGATTGACTTGTAATCATGCGTATTAGGGTGGAGTTACTTTCTCTTGCAAGTACTTATTATGTAGTACCCTAGAAGGCACAACTTGTTTTCCCAATAGATTATTGTGTAATATTGTATATTACGATATCAAATTCATTATTATTTTATCTATGGTGTATTGCAAAACTATACTATCGGGATATCTTAAATGTTCATATTTATGATAATTTCTTTGTTTTATTTATTTTGTGTTCTTTAGAACATGCACGCTCTTTCATATGTTATAAATACAAGCTACTCTTAGCCCCTTATAGTGTATTGATGTGTAGTCAATATTTGATTAATTGTCATATCCATTATGGTTGTGCTCAATAGAGACTGATAGATGCCTTTTGTTGACATACACATATGCAAAACTTGTTAATCAAGCATATGTCATAATATTTTTCTCTCACATATTAAGGGTTAAATAATTAATTGAAACATTTATAGTTCTATTCATATCATAACCACATGACCATGATGTCTTATTTTAATGGACAGATTATATGTTTTACTACTTAACTAATAACAAACATGTACTATTTTGCATTTGCATGAATATTTGGATACTTGCTTTTTTAAAATGCTTAGGTGAGTCTAGTTAGATGTATCTTCTTGGTGGGATTATATGATTAATGTTGGGCATTCTTAACCTATCGTAATATTTTAATTGTAAGTCACTTTGCATCTGTTCACATTAATTTTGGCAAAGTTTTGAAACTTAGTAGCATGTTAAGTTCCTATTATAGATTTAGGTTTGAGACTAACATCCTTTTATATATTATAAGCCTTCACCATAGGCAATTCCTTAATAGTGAAGTTACCATTATTGTAAAATAGTAAGCCCCTTGTTTAAATAAATTGATCAAATTTAATATAGGATTAATAGGACAATCAATTTAAATATAAAGTTCAATCTCGAAAGAAGTTATTTGGAAATCCGAAGTGTCTAAGGTCATATATCCCTGACATTATATAATTTTGGATTTAACGTTAATCATTTTCGTTTAGATTATTCTCTTTTGGTGTTTTATGAATCTCATGTTCATTGATATATATCATTAATATTATATATCATGACCATAGTTTTAATTAAGACTTTCGTAAAGTTTGCCTATGATGTAATCAGGCATAGGATGTTACTATTATGGAGAATTTGGCCTTTTTAGTATAGCTCTCCTCCCAACTTGTATTTAAAAGATAAACATATGTATTTTTTTTTTTATCTTTCATTGAACCCATTATGAGGTTCTTATTTTTATCTCTCAAAATACTATGTTATCCTTCTCCTTGTGGCGCATCTTTAAAGCTCACAAATAGACTAGCACAAACACAATCACAAGGCAATCTAAGTACAACTAAAATACTTTAGTCAATAAATCTTTGAAGAAAAATTAAGGATGTATCAATTCAAACAACATTGATGATGTATAACAAGTCTTAAATGTTTATTTGAGGATATTAAATTCTACGACTTCATGGTATTCAAATAGTAAATTAATCTTAAAAAACACTACATTGTGTTTTGGGTTTCACTAGTTTAAGGTATCCTTCAAGCCAACTTTGGGTTGGCCATCCTCAATCTCAATCATTTGGACTTGAGCAAATCAATACTCTTTCTTGGAATTATAGTTCATTCCTAGATATGGTTTAAGTCTTCCTCAACCCTTAGCTTAGTTAAATGGACTTGCTTAAGATCCCCATTGAACTCATTGAAGTCCTTAAGAGGAACCCTTTGATCATTAAATTTCAAATTATTTCAAATCCTTCTTTGATAGGATTGACCTTATCCATGGGTAGATCATTTAAAGCAACATTACAACCCATCTAGTGTCCGAGTTGCCATTGGAGCTCAAACCAAGCTTGAAGTTTGGTCAACCCACTCAATTCCGCCAGTTTAATCAAATTTAGGAGAGGGTTCACTTCTACTCACTTTCAGTAAGGTGAGGGATCATTTGCAACATCAGCAAACAATCATAGAGGCAAGGTTTTAAAACCATAAAAAGCCATAGGAAGCTTAGGTCTAAGGAAGTATTAGGGCCACAGATGAGTGAGCTAAACTCACCCTTATGTAGCCTTGGTTACCCTTAAGTTAACCCCATAAAGTTTGAGATTTCTCGAGCTAAAGAGGGTGAAATCTCTTTGGGAAATGTCAGTTAAGCTATCACAAACCCTGGTTTCTTTTCACATGCGGGGAAGAAGAAATGGTGGTGACGATTGGATTAACTTATATTATATCCAACGGTTGAGGTTATTTCCACAGGATATAAGAGAAAATATTTTGCATTTTTGCTAGCTATCATCAAAATACCAAATTAAATTAAATTTTAATCACAAATAGGTTGAACATTGGAAAAATACCTTCCAAGTGTGTTTCTTTCATAATTTCTATTTTTAAAAATCCAATCTTTCACTATTTTAATTTAATTTAATTCCAATGAAATCTTTGAACTCATTTGGCATTTCAAATGTCATATTTTAAACCTAAGATAAATTTTCCTTATCATGTGGGGATTTTTCTACAGTGTTTTCATTGTTAAAAAATCCCTATAATTCATACATTACTTTAAAGTTTTCATTGGAGGTGTATAATGTATTCCTATATCTCAAATTATTTAAAAAATATTGGAATTATTTTTGTATATTTAGAAATTGAAATAAAAACAGCCCCAAATAATTTTGTTTAAGGAGATAATAAATAGATCAAATGCATTATTTCATAATTATTTCAAATTCTGAGGTTAATGTTAGCATGTATTTGGTATTTTTCATATGAAAAAAATTGCATATTGTAATTTACCAAATGTCCCTTTTATTTGCATTTGGCCATGGCATACATCCATAAGTTTTAGCAATTGTTCTAGGCATATCCAATTTTTTGGGGGGTTTATTTGGGCTTATTTCCTATTTTTCATACATTAAATATGCAAAATTCAATTGGAAAATTGTGGTTACTTAAGCACTTAAATTTGAATTATTGAGTGTATTTACATACTTTTCCAAAATAAAAATGCATTCTTTTCTATTTTTAAGCCAAAATCTTCATTTTTGTAATTCCTAGAAAATAAAAATATTTTGGAAAATCAAGTTTTAAGCTTAATGTTTTTGTTCATACATGATCAATCAACTTAAAAATCATATTGAACTAATATTAATACTCTGTAAATTATTAAATATTTTTTATGAATAATATAAGATTTATATTAATTATAGAACATAACAAATAAGTTTTAAAAAAAATTAAGTCTTTTAGAGTGTTCATTACATGTGCATGAGTGTATGTTTCAAATTTCATATACATTGGCTTTGAATTTGAGTTGCATGCCAATTCACTGAATGGATCTTTCAAGACATTCAATGAACTTGAAGAAGTCTTCATAAGAGATTTCCATGTTTACCAAGCAGAAATTCTTTAAGAAATTGGTATCAACCTTATAGCATGTAAAGCTAGAATTAAATTATCCTGTGAGATAAAATGATGCACTATTTTAGGATATTAAATTCCTAATAAAGGCATACTTATCAGTTGCTTAAATGTACTCCTAATAACTATCAAATATAATTCTTTTGGATCAACATGAAAATATGCATATAAGTAGACATCAAATATAATGCTAGGTTGAATTGCTATAAGATATCACAATGATCCAATCATACCTTGATAACACTATGAATCTATAGAGTTATCACTAAGATCTTTATCCAAGCAATTGTTTTAGCTTATGAGGATATTTGTGCTATTACATTCTTTCATATCAAATTTCTTGATAAATTTCTTTATAAGTTTAGTTTGACAAATTAATATTTCATTCTTTTCTATTTTAACACGAAACCTTAGAAAATAAGGTCAACTCCACATCATTCTCATCTCAAATAATGACACATCATTTTAATTATTCTAGACATATTGAGTCATTTGTAGCTAGAAAAGGAATTTCATCAATATAGATTTACACAACTAAAATATCAGATCCTAAGTACTAAATAAATAAAGTCTTGTCAACAATTCCCTTGGTTAATTTATTTTTACGTAAAAATATGCTAAGCGTTTCATATCACACCCTAGGGATTGCATTAATCCATACATAATGCTTTTTTTAAAATTTACAAACATAATTTAAATATATTAACTTTCAAAGTCGGGCGGCTGCTCAACATGAAAATCCTCTTTTATTATACAACTCAAAAGTACTTT